TCATTCACTTGCCCCAACCAATAGTACGTCAAGTCTACTCATCCAAACCGAGACACATGATGACGCGATAACCATCTCCCCTCATGATTCAGCCAACGTGCGTCTCCAAGTCGACCCTCGACTTTGCGACACGCAAGGGAAGAAGGAGGTCGAAGAACACCTCATTGATGGTCGTCCCCAAGACCTGCTGTTTGTGACAGTTCAGGAGGCTGTCAACGTATGCATGCGTGTGTGTGTGTGACATTCACTCCACCCACTACCGTCCCATCACCATCACCACAACCACCACCATCTTCATGCTGGGCGTGTGTCTTGACGACGTTGTGTGCCGTTTCCGTGGTTGGCTGGCGTTCGCCTCAAACGTGATCGCCATCAGTGGAGCACCACTCAGTGAATCGTCGTCCACACACCAACTTTCCAAGGCATTTGCCACCATCCCCCACTTTGTGTGCATTTTCAACAGCCTCTGCGACGATTGAAGGTTAATTGGTGGAGGAGACAGGCTCACACTGACAGTTGCATGTCTTGAGGCCAACCGACACCACATTAGGAGTGGCTTGAAAAAGGCGAGGAGTGTGGAGGAGAAGCAGGAGGAGACCATGCCAAATAGCCTAGTCATATCTGTGCTCTATGATATAGATAATTTCCTTCGTCTTCACAGGCTACAAGTCTTAAAAAATACAGTACCAACTTGCTCCTGAATACCTGCCACTGTTTAATATGAAAGTCATACACTTCAACTAATGGCTCCCTTTTCATTGATTAAATTTTTACTTCTCTGGAATGTCACGGGCACTTCACTCCCTACTCATCTGGGTTTTATGCATAACTGATGCATTGTGTTTCAACTTCCATGTTTCTCAATTGTATGAAATTCTTTTGTTCCTCCCTGACGTCTGCCTTTTCAGGCGCACACTATAAATAATTATGCCGTGCAATTCAATTATTCTATGCAAAAAAAATAGCCTTAACGCGAAGTTTTAGGGTGAAATTTCTGTTTGCATTGGTGAAAAGTGAATTTGGCAGTCTGTTGAGCTACTTTATTTTGTATTTAATCATTTTTTTAGTTAAGGGAGTTTGTAGGATGGAGAAAAATAGACTTACTGTCACGCCATCAAATCCTACAGCACTGGTAGTCCATAAACGATACAATTTCAGTGTTGTTGATGGGTTAAAATTATGACGGCGTCAGAGGTCTTTCAGTCAAGTCTTTTAAGCAAGCATTGGAGTCTCTAAGACGCTTTTCATATAGTTTTTTTTTTTAGAACTAAACAATAACATGACCATAAGGTCCCCAAATCGTTTGCTCCGGAGTTGTATGCGCCTCACTGTTTAAACTGCCTTGTTCGCCTTGTGCATTTAAGGCGATTCGGACAAGTCTGAATGAAGCAAGGGCTTTCAACAACATGAAAGCGTTGCAGATTAGACTCTTTAATAAGCCTGGAGTGATAGAGCACAGCGCTAGTTCAACTTCTTCTTATACTCTTCTGAGAAGAAATTAGGAAAGCTCTAAATCTTGAGCAACGCCATGTATTACCGTTGTCAAGACGTTCAGTGTTTAAATCCATGCAGGTAGTTTATTTTGCTATAAAACAGAATCCATCCAGCAATCCTACCGATACAACAAAGTGTCTGTCTGTAATGTAAGCTGTATGGTTACTGGAAGGTTCATGTTCATTACCCATTGACTAGGACGCCCTTCAAACGCCCTGTCCCTAAGGTGTTGGAACTTTCAGTACTCTGTTCTCAAAGTTGTTTGCAAGTTCGACTTTCGTTGCTTATACCATAAGCGCCTTTATGCTCAACACCGGCTATTGCCCTCACGACCATCGGATCCAGCTTAAACAGTCATTGGCTTTGCATCCCTTCTCAGAACGTCGAATGGATCCGCAGACAAACCGAATGTACTTTGTAAATCATAAAAATTGTACCACGCAGTGGGAGGACCCACGGGAGAGGGGCATGGACGAAAGTCGGCCGTTGCCGCCAGGTTGGGAGAAGCGATACACAGCGGCGGGTCAGCGTTACTTCATCGATCACAACAGTCGAACGACTACCTTCATTGACCCTCGCACTGGACAGCATGCTGGGTGTGTTATTCCATTATTTATTTCTTCTCCTCTTTTAGCTAAAGACAAGAATAGTTTTAATTTACATTGCAATTTTTAATGCAACGTAGATGTTAAAATAGGCAATACAATAGGAGAGTTCAAATAAACGCGGCTATAGCAACAACAGCACTGGAAATCTAAAGACGATAATCAGTTGAGCAAAGTGAATGATGCCAAAGGCAGGAGACAATGCAATTTCCTTTCGTTTATTTATGTCCAATTCAATATAAAGCCGGATTCAATCGTAAAACAGCTCTTCGCGACTCCCTGAAGGGCAATTTATGCATCTTTGTCACTACCTTTTCTCTCAAATCTTCATACCCAAAAGGCAAAACCATATCACAGGAGAGGTGCAGTATTAAACACCATTCATTAGCCACTTTAAACATCATCACGCGAATCTACTCTTTGACTTTTGCCGAAGCATTTCGGTTGGGAAAAAAGCATCATCGTGTGGTTTTGTGGTCATGCGTCTCCTCGGTCTTCCCAAGGGCCACTCAACACCCACCCTCTACGTCCTCCCTTCTCATCATGAAGGAAGGGCGAAGGGATGGAGGAGAGGGACAGTTCGTGCATGACGTGCAAGGTGTAGCCAATTTAGACTTGATTAAGGTGCTCACTCAACCATGCAACATTGACACACCAAAACACAAGTAGCGACATTTGTCATAAACTTTTGCGAAACAAACAAATTAAGGCATAAAAATAGAGAAATGGAATGCTTTGTGTTTTGCGGAGGTGGTGCGACATAAGCACCGTAGAGCTGCCATTCAATGCAACACCCTGCATTAATCCACGTCAAAGCGTTCACTTCTTTGACGGGCCATTGCTGTGGTGGGATTGTCACAAACACTGTTGAGTGGATGGAACGGAGGACACAATTCTCGCAGGAAATCTCGGAAAGCGATGTGCTCATGTATCAGACGAAAGAGGATGACTTGTTGTTGTGTGGCAGTCCTCCTCCCATGCCTGTGCCTTCCCAACAGGCAAAAACCACCACCACCGTTATCATCCCCGTTGTCACCTTCGACGTCAATCTCAAACGCTGCAACGGACGACAGTCGTCATAAATCATTGTGCAACACTGTGAATATGTGAGTGAGTGAGTGGATAGTCACAGGCGCCTTGCTGAGACACTTCATTTTCGGTCGAGTGCAAGGAAGGGCATACAGGGGCGTGCGTTCTTGCCTCCACCGCCACCAAATTGCACACATACGTTCCCTCCATGCAGACAGGAAGGCACTGGTCGTGCAATGCCGGAAAGAGACACTAGTGTTGTTTAAAAATTCCAATAATAAGAGGAAGGAGAAGGAGAAGGAGAAGGTGATGCAGACGAGGAAGAAGAAGAAGAAAGACCGTTCACTATAGTGACATTTGAGTTACGTTGAGTAGGTGGAGTGAAATGTGGACTTGTATGAGATTGACGAGTGCGTCTGAAGCAGTGGAGCACCTCATGCACAACCAAAAGACATGTTCATGTAGAGGGGCGCAGCAGCAGCACCACATAATCCGCAGGTGCACGGTGAGTGAATGGCTTGCATCCAACCTAGTCGACACTGCATCAAACAGCCAAACAGACTGCAATGCGAGAGGCATCAAAGCAGCGTCAAAGTGGTGCAAGACGTAGCCGCCATCACCATCACTATCAACATCACCACCACTACTTAGCACATGTGGGCGGACGACAATCACCTGTTGGACGCTACGCAATCTCCGATTTCTGTCTTTACTCCCTAACCAATGCGTTTCGGCGACAACAACAACCACATCAACAAGTCATGTGTTGGTGGAGGGTAGTAGCAGTGTCAATCTCTCCCTCCCTCCCTTCCTCCATCCCTCTCTCCTTCCCCTTCCTCTCCTTCTTCCCACCTTCCCACCTTTTCTTGCCCCCTCATTCACCATTCAATCAAACACGTCGTAGACTCGCACCGCGTGTATCGGAAAGCAGTACAACGAGGTGTGAGGGGAGGAGGTGGAGGTGGAGGTGTACGGTCAGGACAAACACACTCATTTCGGAGCGACCACAAGTCGATGTAGTGCACAGGTTTGAGTAAAGGTCATAGCTGGAGGCGAGACGAATGCCATCCCATTCCTACTCCTACTTGCATTTCCCACAGTCTCCAGTCTCCAGTCCAACTGTATGACTTTAAATATCCGCTGTCAAGCAGTTCATGGTGTTTGACAGTTGATGAGGCACACTCGGGACAGATGGTGAGGGAGAGCGGTGGAAGGGCAATTGCATCAAAGGGGTTCGTAGCAATGCCCTCCTCACCTCCTACTAAAACGTGCAAGGGAGAGATCAACAACTCCCTCTTAATATGTGACTCCTCCAGTGAGGCGAATGGTTGATAATTTGTCTCGAGGTTATAATGCACACCCAGATGCGCGTGCAAGCACAGGGGCTGTTATGAGAGGTCAAGAATGAGGGTGCAAACAACAGTGCCAAAAACACCACCTCGCCCCAACCCATCCAACCTCACCTCATTCCTCACTACTTCACCTCACCTCACCTCACCTCACCTCATCTCATCTCACCTCACCTTCCGCCTCCACCTTCCCCCTTAAGCACTCATCTTCGTGTAAGGCGGCGGTGGCGGTGGCGGCGGCTAATGTCATCATCCCACCTGCACACGGTTTAGTGTTGGTGGTGGTCAGTGGTCGGTGGGCTTTGTGGAATGAAAGACAAGTCCACATTGCTCCAGATCAGATGCGCCGCTTGATGTAACCTTTGTGCATGATGAAGCTTTCCGCTATTTAGTCGGTCATGCAGATGAGCATGAAAAGTAACGCTTTTGCATGTGAAAGTACCGCCACGCACATTGCCTCACTGCTCAATGCACTGGCAGTTGGATGTGTCGGGCGTCTGTAATGAAGTGAGAAGGGTAAACAATTGTATCGCTTGCATGACCTTGCATCAACCAATTCCCCAGCGTTTGTCGACGTCACGGTGACGAGGAGTGACTCGTAGTGATGGTGGAGAGAACAGTCCATACTTTGTCTCGTGGCAGAAGCAGAAGTGTGTATGCAGTGCCTGTAAAGTTGTGTGGATGGAAGTCAATGTTGCATCACCGTACACTCCTTCTGATACCCGTTTAATTTGGACGCGGTTGTGATGATGGGCACGCAAACCGGCGTTTCCATTGCTGCAGACAATAAGCCTACGAATTGTCGCACACACATGCACGCAAACGGAAGATACGAGTCTACAGTTGGGAGGCAAGGTTAACCGAATGTCGCATTCGAGGCGTCGTTGGTGTTGTCCTTGTTCGTGTTCTTGTTGGTGTTAGTGGTTTGGAGAGCTGTTGTAAGGCAAACGCGGCAAAGCTGTGCACCACTTCCCTACAAGTATTCTCAATGGGTGACAGAAGTGACTCATAATGGGACGGAAAGATGCGTGAGGGAGGAAAGGAGAGAGGAGCGAACGTGTGACATATGAACTGCAGTATCTGAAGGTCGGTGGTCAACGAGTCAGCCAAGGACAAGCGATCCTCCAAGTCAAACAGTGGAGATGTGAGCGCAGTTAAGTTGGCAATAGGATGAGCTGCAACACCACCACCACCACCACCATCATCGTCGCTCCTCATTCTTGCCCTCCTCCTCCTCCTCCTTCTTCTTCTTCAGCAGCAGCAGTAGTAGTAGTGTAGTAACAAGAACAACGTGAAGATCAGGAGTGGCAGCAACATTGACTGGCATTCGCATGACCATCACCACGTGGTGATGCATAGTTTAACCGGCAAGTGATGTTGGCTGAAGGCGAGTTTGGGACGGGAGTACGATTGGTAACAATGGTGGCAGAGAAAGGAATGGGCAGTGGTGTGTGTGGAGATGTGGTTGAAGGAGGCGCGCACAAAAGTGCCATCGTGAATGGGAGATGAGGAATGAGGAGGAGAGGAGAGGAGAGGAGAGGAGAGGAGAGTGGTAGAGAGACAATGAATGAAGAGGGTGAGGTGCGGGAGAGTGGAGAGATGGAAGGGGCAAGGGTAGAAGGGAAATCGATCACCCACCTGCCAGAACCAGACGACCTGCTTGGAGGATGCGTTGTACTTCCGGTATACCGTGTTCGTCCGCCAATCCTCCACGTCCAACTCGGGCATTCCAGACAGCAACAGCTACAAGGCAAGATAAGACGAGATAAGGCAAGGCAATTCAAAGCAACGCATACCAA